TCCTCCTCCTCCCCCTTCTCCTCCTCCTCCTCCTCCTTCACCTCCTCCTCTTCCTCCATTCCTTATCCGTGTAAACAACTTCTCCCTGTCGCACTCCGAGGCCAGTTTGTAGGCCGGGCAGGGCGTTTCGCCTGAGACTTCCTTACAATGTATCAATCTGAGCTTAAGAATGTGCAACAGCTTCAAGGATGGAGGGCGGGTGGTTTTCAACATGTGGCTCTCGCCATTGCGCCGCGCACATTCGTTCATAAAGTTTACAAAAGCTGCACGGGCTGAAGAAAATCCATTTTCAGAATGTGGCTCTCGCGTTAGCGCCACGCGCATAACCCGATTTCAATATGTGGCGCTCGCCTTAGCGCCGCGCGCATCCGTTCTACAAAATTGCAAGAGCTTCGCATGTTGAGGGCAACTCCTTTTCAAAGTGTGGCTCTCGCCTTAGCCCCGCGCACATTCCTTCACAAACTTTGCACGAGTTGCACGGGCTCCCGCGATCAACGTACCAGAAATTGCGTGTTGGAAGCATTCCGGCTTTTGCGGGTGCAACAGTTACGTTGATTCGCGGCGATGACGTCCCAGGAATGGCGCGTTGGCACGATTCAAGATCGTCAAGACGCAACAGTCAGGTTGATCTGTGGCGTTGGAATCCCAAAAACAATGTTTTGGCATGCTTTCGGGTCTTCAAACGGCTGTCTTCCAAAGAGGCAGAGCCCTCAGTACAAAATAAGCCGCTGTCGGGGCCTGTGAGGAGGGAACTTGGAAGGGGGTGTCTTCCAACATCCTTGATGGCTCTTGGGTTTACACTGGTTCTCCTCTTCCTTGTCCTCACCTCCGCTTCCTCCTCCTCCTCCGCTTCCTCCGAGTTTTCCTCATCCCTCTCCTCCTCCTTCGCCTTCTCCTCCTCCTCCTCATCCGCTCCTCCTCCTCCCCTCCTCTTTCTCCTCCTCCTCCTCCTCCTCCTCCTCCTCCCCCTCCTCCACTTCCTCCTCCTCCGCTTCCTCCTCCTCCTCCTCCTCCTCCTCCTCCTCCTGGGGGAGTCGGCTGGGGACGCACGTGGCGCCACTAAGGGCGTGGATTCCCCACGCCCGACGAGCACCCCAGCCGAGCCCCCAGGGGAGTGAACAGCGGGGCGACAGTGGCAAGAGGCACGCTCAAGTGCCCTCCCAGCACAAGGAGGATGCGTCGCCCTAGACCGGACCTCCTCCAGCAGTGCTTATATTGCCCACCTTGCAGGTTCGGGTCGGAGAGCCACAGGCCCCGCCTGGGTGGTCACCCTGGTGGAACCCATTTCGCCAGTGACAGGCTAAGCGTGGCCCTCCTGAGCGAGGTTGACACCAGCTGCCTGTCGGCTCCGCCAGATGGTCTCAACGAGGACGCCGGAGGATTTCTCCTCCAGGAGCCTGCCAGCAATACTGGCGATCCTACGCACCTTCCTCAGGAGGCATGCGCCTCCATGACACTGCCCGATTTTGTCAATTTTCATTCGGACAAGTCGGAGGGTCTGACCTCCAGGACGCAGCCTGGCGGCAGTGCCGGCGGTCCTGCACATTCTCATATCCTAGCGTGTGGCATGTGTCCGTAGGACATGGCCTGGCGCCAATGCCAGCGGAGAAGCATTCCAGTCGGAGGTTCTGCCCTCCAGGACACAGCCCGGCGGAAAGGCCGGCGGCCCTGCACAATCACCATTGTCCATCTTGCAAGGAAGGCGGTCAATACCTCGAGGTCGCTCACCTCGAGATCTTTACTTCGTTGTCTGAAGGCACACGCGGGCATATGCTACGCTTGGCTCCTCGTGCGCAGGCGAAGGCCAACGGCAGTGCCAGATCTCGTGCATCCACAGATTATGCACGCACGTCGCGAGGCATTCGCCTCAAGGACACAGCCTGGCGGCAAAGCCGGCGGTCCTGCACAATCTAACTCTCTCCGCTTACCATGGCCTCGTCTTAGACGGTGGCCAACGGCCGCGCCAGCTGTCGTGCACCGCAGATGCTGCACACATGTCGCGAGGCCTTCGCCTCAAGGACACAGCCCGGCGGCAAGGCCGGCAGTCCTGCTCAATATCTTTTCGTCTGGCTACCATGGTTGTTTCCTATTAACGTCATTGCCAGTTTTCGTGCAATCGCAGATAATGCAGTATGTCGCGAGGCATTCGCCTCAAGGACACTGCCCGGCGGCAAGGCAGGCAGTCCTGCACAGTCTCTCCTGGGCACCCTCCGGCGCGACGAGTTCCTGTCACTGGGCCCCGTTGAGCAGGCCTCCAAGCTCCGAGGCAAACTCGACAAAGAGGAGGCGAAGCTCTCCGACGACACCTCCACCCTGCAAGCGATCGAGAAAGAGATCGACGCCCTCTGCGACATCCACTTCGAGCTTGAGGGAGCCACACAGGCGCGCATCTCGGATATTCGATCCCTTCGAGAGCAACTGCGGCTCACAGAGGCCACGATCTCCGCTCAGACGGAACCCATTCCTGCGGAGCCCAAGGCGCCCACCTTTCAGGACGCAGTCGACTTCATCAAGGCCCACCCCGATGTCGACATAAAGAGCTTGGAGCCAGAGGAGAGCGCGTCTCGCATCATCGCCTTCATCCACAACCGGGACAACCCCACCCCGCCGGCGGCCAACTCGCCGAAACTCGGTCCACAAGCCCCTTTTGCCCCCAAGATCGGAAGGGTTAACGAAATCTCCACCAAGGTCGAGGAGGCGTTGAAGGAGCCTGCCAAGGAACCAGGCGCGGCTGAACCCGCAGCCGCGCCAGGTGGCCTGCAGGACCAGTCCGCGGCCCCTGCGGTGGCCGCAGCCCCAGCGGGGGAAACGCCGACTGAGCCCGCTGCGCCAGCAGCCGTGGAGGCGGCCGTCGGCCTGGCAGCGGGCGGCCGGTCGCCGGGGTAACACCCGCAGCTCTGTAGATGCAGTCGGCCCGCGACCTTCAGTTTTGTCAGCCCTCGTGCTCCTTCGAGCTGTGTACTTCTAGCGGAGACGCCTGGACCACCGTCCGGCCTCTATTGGAGCAGGGCAAATTTAGTAGGCTCAGGGCTGTAATGCTGCAGGAAACTCTATTGTGTGAGTCCCATGACATCAAACTTGCTTCAGAAGCGTGCATTCGCTTGGGGTGGTACCCAGTTTTCACGCCAGCAGTGCGCTCGGAAGGCAACCGTCCCATAGGGGGCGTTGCCATTTTGGTCCGGCGCACTCAGGACACGGGCGTATCACCTTTACCTCAGCATCTCGCACCCTCCCCTGACGCTTCCCGCTTGCTCGGGGTCAAGCTCGACCTTTCTGGCTTCGACCCCGTAATTATTGTCACCCTCTATCTCCACCCCGTGGTGAAACTGAGTATTGAAAACAAGGCGTTGCTGGCGCATCTCGGCATCATGCAGCACCAGAGTGGCATGCCACTCATTGTCGGTGGCGATTTCAATCTCCCCCTTTCTGTCCTCACTCATACTGACTTCCTTGAGCGCAGCGGCTTCAGCATTGTTGCCCCTACTGAGCATATTTATTTTTCCCAGAAATCGAAGTCCAAGATCGACTTATTTCTGGTGTCGCGGAGTTTGCATCCTCTCATCTCTTGCGTCACCTCCCACACCTCTTTCAACGTGGCAGCGCTGGCTGGCCACCGTCCCGTCGGTCTGGTCGTGGACCTCGATCGCGAGGTGCTGGTGTCCAGGCTCCAGCTCCCTTTCAAGTTCCCCGCCGCTGCCCCCTTTGGGCCCCGGCCTGCCTTGGAGAGTTGTGCCCCACTTAAGGAAGCAGGCCAATTACTGCTAGC